ATCTATCTATCTATCTATCTATCTATCTTTCTATCTATCTCTCTCTCTCTCTCTCTGTCTGTCTGTCTGTCTGTCTGTCTGTCTGTCTGTCTGTCTGTCTGTCTGTCTGTCTGTCTGTCTGTCTGTCTGTCTGTCTGTCTGTCTGTCTGTCTGTCTGTCTGTCTGTCTGTCTGTCTGTCTGTCTGTCTGTCTGTCTGTCTGTCTGTCTGTCTGTCTGTCTGTCTGTCTGTCTGTCTGTCTGTCTGTCTGTCTGTCTGTCTGTCTGTCTGTCCTGTCTGTCTGTCTGTCTGTCTGTCTGTCTGTCTGTCTGTCTGTCTGTCTGTCTGTCTGTCTGTCTGTCTGTCTGTCTGTCTGTCTGTCTGTCTGTCTGTCTGTCTGTCTGTCTGTCTGTCTGTCTGTCTGTCTGTCTGTCTGTCTGTCTGTCTGTCTGTCTGTCTGTCTGTCTGTCTGTCTGTCTGTCTGTCTGTCTGTCTGTCTGTCTGTCTGTCTGTCTGTCTGTCTGTCTGTCTGTCTGTCTGTCTGTCTGTCTGTCTGTCTGTCTGTCTGTCTGTCTAATCTATCTATCTGCCTATCTGTTTCCTTCTGTTTCCTTCTCCTCGTTTTTCTTTCTCTTTCGGCCTTTCTCATCTTCCCTTATTTCCCATTCCTCTCTTGTTCTTTTATCCTTTCTTAATTCTTGGTTTTTGCCCATTTTTTTTTAAAACCTCCCTTATGCTGTCACCAAATGTGGAAATCTAATGTCAATCTATTTGCTTGCCGAAATAGTCAAATTAATTCTCTTTTGTTACACATCTGGATGTTTTCATGAAATGTCAAGGAGGGTTTTCCAAATGCATTAGTTATTTATTAAAAATGTTCAGTAAAACATTGCGCTGTTTTCTGTCTCAGGATAGAAGCATTAGAGTAGGCTAAATGTTTATAAATGTTAAAATTTTGCATTTGTTTAGGCTACATGTTTATTGTCAGTGTCATAAATTGTAAATAAATTCAGAAATGCACATAAAACCTGAATACAAAGGGGGCATTAGAAGAAAAGAAAAAAAAATGAACGAACAGATGCAATTATTAAGCCAAGCTCTGCCTCTGCACTAAAAAGTGGTTGTATGGTTCTCCAGAACTTTCTGTCTCCTGCTAAATTTGAATTTTAAAGGATTTATCTTCAGATATGAGCATAATGTCATTAGCTGGTGAATCACAAAACGAGATCAATGATTGTAGATGTTACAGAGCAAACCAACTCAGTGCGAAAGTAGCATCAAACTCACTGATAACTGATTTAAGAATCGACTTCATGGCACAACGGGCATACCCATAGATGCTCCGTCACCTGCAGCAATGACGTAAGGTGTAGAAGCTAACTGTTCCCGTAGCACACTGATTGTACACACGCTGATCTTTTCCTCTCGCCCGTCCCTACTTGCCGGATCCACACTGAATTCCTCGTTCGCACATTCTTGCCTATGGTTTTTCATTTAATCTCGTGTCTTCTACCAAAAATGCTTCAAATATGGTCATCATAATATCGCCCTTGTCCAGCACGAGTGTTTTTGAAGCTTTCGCTTTTGTAGCCATAAAATCTGCTCGTACATTCCCTCGCACTCCTGCATATCCCGGACATTATATCCAAGTGATTCCCTTCATATTGGCGTACTGATGCATGGCATCCACTCATGCCACATTAGTCTATTTTGAACCTTTTGCAACACCGACTGAGAATCAGACACAGTCATTCCTATGGAAACTCTGTTTTCTGCTATCCCCTTCAGAGCTGCAGTGATTGCCTCCAGTTTCATTCTCATGCTTAAAGTTGTAGATAAAGAAAAAGCTCAGTTTTTTTCCCCCTGCTACAATTTTTCCCTCTATTCTAGCTGAAAACCCCCAGCCAGATCTTAGACCCTGTTAAACAGAACCATCGGTGTACACTACTGCATCATCTAGTCCAGCTTTTCCATCTGTCAGTTGTTGTACCTCTAATTCTGCCATACCGTTACACCACTCTCTACATTCTCTTCCTAACGTGATAATGACCTGATGGAAACTGCTGTTGTGGGTGTTCGTGTCGATCCATTCCTTCCCCGTGTGTATTTGCTTGACTGAGGTCGCCGTCTAGATAGTATCTTCAGCTAGTGCCATCCATGACTTACCTCTTTTCAACTGGTCTTTTCTTAAATCGTTCGAATTACCATGCAGTGGATGCCTTTCGTCATTGGTGCATCACATATAGACACTGGCTTGCGCCATTGACAGTTTAAACTGTACCGATGTCAGCCCAAGCATTTACCTCATTGTGCGAATTGGGGTGTCCCATGTGCAACCCAATACGATTCTCATTCCTTCATTTTGAATCATTTCAAGCTTTGTACAGGTGATGTAGATAGAGTTAATATTCCTAGGTCATAATCGATTACAGAAAGGACCAAATGGCTAAACAAAAAAGACCACCAATCTCTGTTCCATGTGTGTCGTCACCATCGTCTGCAGTGCCACCAGGCCACTTTTGCATGTGATCACAGTCTGCTCCACGTGATATATGTAGGACAGACTGTGATCAAAGGTCATACACATGTATTTCAACTCATCTCTTCTTTCAAAATTAATGCCCTTCATGAATATGTTTGGCAAGTCTTCCTTTCCAATGCTGTTTTTCAAAGAGCACCACAAAACACTAGCCTTCTCTGTTTTTACCGTTGACCCTGTTTGTTCACACCTCTCAGTTATCTCATGCAAAACACTTTGCAAGTCTCTGGTATTGTCGTGCCTGTTTGACCTGCTTCGATACATAACGACTTTTTTTGTCAAAGTTCGCCCTGATCCAGTTGGATGAATTTTTGTCAGACTTGCTGTATATATGTTGAACAAGACATGTGACAATGGTAACTAAAACTCAGAATCAAACATGTGTTAGTAGATGCCAAGAGAGCACTTTCTGGCATAATCTTCTTGCCAACCTTGTGCCAGGTCTAGAAAATGACAGAAACAGAGAAAAAAAAATTAAAAACAACGTAAATGAGACTCCTTCAAAGGGCTCATTCAATAAAAAGATGATAATAGATCAGAATTTATTAAATTATGTGGAAAACATATATAGTGGCAGCTCAGAATTTCATTAAAAAACAAGTGAAATGGTTTGGCCATATAACACGGATGCCAACACAAACAGTATACCCCAGCAATTATGTACAGACAAGGCAGGAGGTGAAGAAGAGGCCGACTATCGAAGCGATGGACAAAGTCCCTAGGAATCCCCATTCACGAACCACACAAACAGGTACTATCCTATAAGTTATACTTCACATCGATAACGCAAGGTAACCGAGAATCGAAATGAGACGAGAGGGCCAGATAAGATAAGATCTGGTAACTTAGATCGTCGTTTACCTTCTGCTCCACTGCCTTAGAATTTTCGGTCTGTTATATTTTTTATGTAAACGCGATTTTTTTATTTTTTTTTAATATGCAGGAATATTTTACTTTTCCCTTTCTTCCTCCCCCACCTCTCTCTCACAGACACACACACAGACACACACACACACAGTTTCTCTCTCTCTTTCTCCCTCTTTTTTTGTACTGTCTATACATCATAATTAGTGATGGCGATAATTAATGTATACGGCGACCACTGGACATCTCCAGGGATTGATAGAATAACTACCAGAAACATTTGGTGTCTGAATGGACAAAATGTCAAACAGTGTTGGAAGCCCAGATAAACATAGCACTAGTAGTATTGTGTGTGCGTGTGTGCGTGCGTGTGAATGACTAGACAAACGTTTTGTATCACAAAAATTTGATTGAGTAAATGAACACAGGTGCAGGACATTGTTGGCGGGCTAAACTGACACAATGCTATGAGTTTGTTTTTGTTTTTTGTCTCGCTTTATCTCTTCTGAATTCTTCCTTATTTTCTCCATGCTCTGTACATTGTCCGAGTAGTTGTGGTACAGGTCTAGCTGACTCTAGCCCAATTCACCCCCCACCCTCCTTTTTTTTTGGGTACACTTCCATCCCAACACCCCCCTACACACACACACACACACACACACACACACACACACACACACACACACACGCTATCTCCCCCCCCCTTTTTTTTTGGTACTATTTTATCCCAACACCCCCCCCCCTTTTTTTTTTTTTAGGTATTTGCCTAATTCTAGATCTAAAGATTCAGAGGAGTGGAATATAAAAGGGACTCAACGCCAAAATTAACTACAACGTTACCATAGGTTTTGAAGAAAAAAATTATTGACTCACTACCAGGTTTTAAAAAAATTGCGGTTCGCAACGGTTCGCAACGGTTCACAACGGTCCTAACCGGTCCGCAACGATCCGCAGCGCTGAGACCTGTTTATGGATTTTTTTGTCTAATGCTACTGTTATGGACACTTCGTGGGGAAAAAAAAAGCATTGATCAGAACAGAGCGTTGCAAACAAGCCTGAAGACTGCTGGCTGTTGTGCAGTTTAACTAGGTAGTTTCACAAGGCATTCATCTCTCTGGTTGGCCTTCTCTATTACCAAGTGTTTGTAGGTCTGTCTGGACGTTATCTCTCCATCGTCTTCTTAGTCTGGCTCGTGGTCTGCGACTATTCACCTCCCTAGTGCTTAGATTTTACCACTCTGTTATCGGACTTTCTCTCAATATGTCCCAGCGATTTCAGTCTATTAGATATCATAATGCCAGTGATAACTGGCGATTTAAACTGATTATGAATTTCGTTATTGCTTCTCACTCTCCATTTCCCCGCTGTTTGAATCTTTAATGGGTCCAAAGATTAGTAGCTAGACTGTGCTCTCGAAAACCTTTACCTCTATAGTTGTGCTGAGAATGCCAGAGCCAAATAAAACGACTGGTCTTATCGTTTTATATATTGTGATCTTAGTGTTGCGAGATAGAGACCTGCGTATGTCAGAATATGGGAATGTGTTCACAATTCCAAAACAGTCTGCGCCGAAATGGTAATTTGAATTATGTTTAGCCCTAGATGAAGCTGTGTCCCAGATCAAACAAAACATCTCTTCAATTGTTTGTGGCTTGTGGATTGTTTTCAGGAGTTACCCTGTGTTATCGTGGGCACCATGATGGATCTGGAGAACGCAAGACAAGTGGAGAAGTTTGATACCCTCAACTGGATCTACAGCAACGAATTTCCTGGCGGATTTGTCGAGGTCAGAACCCTGTGGTGGATCATTTGTCCAGTAGACTGGATTTGTCATAATGAATATCGTTGTCATTATCATTATTATTGTCATCATCGTTGCCGCTATCATAATCATTATTATGATAATTAAATTATCATGTTATATGTTTATGTGTCACACGGAGTTTATTTGTGGATTTCTTAATTCAGTCTCATTACAGATTCTTTGGTCATCACTGTATGCATAGTGTTTAAAACATCAGTAATGTATTCAGTGACGTGTAATATAATAATATAAATAAAGTATATGTTCTAACTGTCAGGAAAGAACTCAGAATTAGTAATCAACCTTATTCACACACCAGCTCACCACACACTCTGCTACCCTTCTCCATTCCTCAGAGTGTAACTCTCAAGAACAGGAGAAAATGTCTCCTTTCATTTATCTGTCTGTAAATTCGTGCAACAGATAGAAAACAAGGTTTATAGTGGAGATAGATAGACACTACCACACATATATCATCCTCTCTCCACCCTCACATCTGCACTCGCAGACATACAATGTATACAGTTAGTACCTATATAAATGTCAAGTCTCCACAGGCTGTCCACTACACACCCACTGAATCTGTGTCAAACACACTTTTGACTCAGAGCGTCTAGCTCTGACGTTACAGCAGTTAACTTAAAAGATGACCCAGTTTCCATATTTCTGCTAGGAGGCACAAAACTTAGTTTGTCTGGTCAGAGAATAATTACTTGTAGGGTTTAATATCTTTACAAATGGTGTGGGTTATGTAGAGCACAAACTATTTAGTCTGCACAGGGAAAGGTTTAATGTTCGGAGCCTGATCTCTGGACATCAAGAACGGCCCAACTCTGTGCGATCACACAGCTGAATCTTCCCTCTCTGCAGCAGTGGTCAACTTTATAAAGACATATATTATGGTACTCGTAAATTATAATCAACTTACCCAAGCTTATGAATTCTTTCAATATAGAACTGGTACTTTGAATGCGCTAATTTTCTACATAGACTGTATACACGTCTTGACACTTTAGAGATCAGGCGAGAGAATGCCGCTCAAACCTAAACTCGGCGTCTCTAGGAAAGAAGTCCCCTATATTCATGCCTAATGGGTAAACCGGCTTACAGGAATGTCTGAATTAAACACCAGAAATCTTCAACCTACAGTTGCAAGTTTGAAAATGAAGATTTATCAAAGCAACTAGAGGGTCTAAAAATGAATATATTACCAGATAAAGGTATATATCATTATAAGGGACTATATACCCCTCCGGATGGGTTTAAGTTTGAAATGTGACTGCCCGCTTAGGGAAGTCGGCATCACGACTCGTCCATCGTGTAGGGTTGGCTGTTCACTTTCATGACATTAACATATTATGTATGTTGGTCGAATACTAATGAGTAATATGGTCAGCCTTAGAGTCCAGGTCGATAAAAAATTCACTCTTCGATACGGATCTAAACCCTCCCCCTCCCCCCCCCCCCCCACGGATCTGCAGGTGAGCGTCAAACCACTGTGCCACCGATTCTAATTGCTAACGATATATTAGTGTTTCAGAAGTACAGAAGTATTGCAAACAAATTTCTTCAAAAAGAAGCTTTTTACCATTTTATGCTAACCGATGTATATTATAACCTGTGGTTTGTAAAATGCAACATGATGCCAGACATGTAACACCAGAAAATGGGAGATTGGGTGGGGGGGAGGGGGTTGAGGGCGTACCCTGGGATTGTGGATGCTAAAGGCACTGACCAAACTGTTAAATGCGCTATACGAACTATTTTTGCGCTATTAATGACAGACATAGACAGCCCTAGAAAAACAAAAATGCAAAATAACCGTGAAATGTATAAGAAATGCCGTAAGAAATAAAAAAGAGAGAGTCATCAACGAAGAATCAAGAACGATGGTAGGCACAGTGCTGGTACATGATTTCGTAAAATTTTAAACATTCAGTGGTTTGGTCATCTGGTCAGAGTGGAATAAAATCAGCCATCAGCAGGAGCGTACCACGTGAGAACAAGGGGTTACAAGGTCAGACGCCGACAAAAAAAAAGTAGTAATCTTGGTAATCTTAGTTTGAGCTTCATAGCAAACGAGTCACCCCATAGTTGCTCCGCTCCTGTGCCAACGAAAAACACACAGAATGTTCGTCGCAGTCCCTTGTGGAAAGATTGACAGACTGCTGTATCAGCCTATGCACTGGCATACACACGCATTAAAAGCATACGGTAGTGATCATAAGTGCTAACACAAACAGTTTCACATTAGAAATGCAGTTCATCATCGACCGTAGCAGAAGTCGCCAACAGACAAAGAAAGATCTGGGTGGAAAGAGTAAAAGGACACACAGAGACGCTTATGACATTAACACAAGCCACGCAACTAAGACCAGAAACTACATGTGACTCTGTAATGCTGTACGGAATAAAGCTGTAGAACATAAGAAGCCATAAATAACATCATGAAATCTTGTGATCATTAACAAAAACTAAGCTTGCCTGCCTGCCCTGTAGTCTCAAGTCTACCTTCAGACAAATTTTAAAAATTAATTTGACTTAGTTAGTCTTTTAGATTAACCCTGTCTAAACATAATTTAAAAGTTAGTGCGCATCCTTTAGAGAGAAATGCTACTCCTGCAGTGGACTTAACATAGACGACTACCCTGGCACGACACAACGCTACTCACAAACAGAACATAGGGGAAAATAAGAATGTCACTGAAACAATAACCGCTTCTGCAAAAGCTGGTGGGAGAGGGGGGGGGGGCACAGGAGAAAGACAGTGAAAAATGCACACGCCAGACAAATGAATAGCAAGGACGAATAAGATAGACTGGCATATACCTGATTTAATTCGATTCAAGAACCGATATCACAGCACTTGGAGCATTCCCATAAGCGCTCCGTCCCCATCTTCAGTAGTCAACGAAGAGTTCCAGTAGCAGTCTGATTATATGTGCGTCTTGCCTTTCCTCTGAGCTTTGAGTATCGGCCAGCTCGTCTCGTCACTCCTTGCTGCATCACTCTCACTAGAATGTGATGACTAATTTGATGTTTAAAATTGTAAACATAAGGACGTAAGTACGTCTGACTTAGCATGTATCAGTATCCCACCACGTTGTGCAAAGTCAGTCGTACTGTCCGCCTGTTCATTTCCCAACACATCAGCATAACACAAAGACAAGATTCAGACAACGTTCTTCACCCTTGACCTTCGAAGGGAAGCATGCCACTCTGCACGAAGGATGCCGGCCCTCACATTCCTCAGCATGATTTTTGAGTCAGCTACAGTCACTGTGTGTGTGTGTGTGTGCGTGTCTGTGTGTGTATGTGCGTGTGTGTGTGTGTGTGTGTGTCCCCTCTCGCCAGCGAAAAGCTGCAGTGACCGCTTCCACCTCAATTGTTAAGCTAAATGTTGTGGTATCATATGCTAGGCTCTCCTGCACCAAAAGTCAGCCATTTGCTTTTGCTAAGAACCCCCAGATATCTCTTTTGCCTTTTGACATTTAACCATCTGTAAAAATAATCACATCACCCGAGCGAGAATTATCCTGAATTAACTACTGAATTTCTACCTCAATAGCACCAGCTGGTCATTCTCTGCACTCCCGGTTCAGTGTGATTATGACTCTATAAGTCTGACCATTCGCTAGCACTCTGACCATCTCCTTTCCTCACCTAGTGTTCTCCAGGATGCAAACCTGTCTGATCGTGTCCTCCGCTTGAGCCATCCATGAATAAGATACATAATAAAAATATAATAAAAGCCAGATAAGCGAAGAAAGAAAGCAAGTTCGTAATAGAAGTCAACAGTAATAACGATAAAAGTGGGGGTGGCAGCGAGAGGAGTTGCATGGGACAGAGAGAAAAGTAACAATAAAAAAAAAAAAAAAGTAAAGATCCCTTTTCACGACAGAGTGCTGAAAGCAACAATAGAGATGGAAAAATTCAGGTAGACAGAAGAAACACGAACTAGGAAGGAAAAAAAAAAGAAGTAAATTATAAACCAGATAATGTAAAGGAAATTAGAATTGTGGAAGCTGGAAACTACAGGCAAGCTGTAATGAAATCATTCCATTCGAGCCGCTGGCACTAAGACAAGACATCTCGGTGTCCAGATTCGGGGATGCTTTTCCAGTCTGAAGCTTCTCGAATAGCTACTACGGTTTTTTCTTCTTCTTGTAGTTTAGGTGCGCAGAGCTGGAAATCATTCCCCTTTGTAACTCTCTCTTTCGTGGGCTGTCAATCATTTTCTAAAGATGTTATATGATGATGCTCAATGCCTAACAGTCTTGCGTGTGTGTGTATGAGTGTGTGTGTGTGTCGCCCCCCCCCCCCCTCCTCTCTTCCTGTCAAATATTCCTAATATCATAGTATTCTCTAGTTCTCCCCTTCCTACGACATGTCCAAAGAATGAGGATGTGTTTGGTTATAGTTCTGCTAATCATCCTCTGCATAGCAGCTGCCATACAGCAACCCCATACCCTCCATATTCTTTCCGAGTTAACTTCTTTAATATGTTTTACTTACGCATTTTATCTGTCTATGACAGAGGTCTCCAGCCTGGAGGACTCGGGGCTGAGCCGGGAGGACATTTCAAATGGGGCATCAAGCAGTTTTGAAACTGTGTTCGTTGGTATTTGCAGTTATCGGAATTTATAGCCTTAACTCTCATGAAAACAAAACAGCATTGCCAGCTTCATGGGCAGAGAAATATTTTTTGTGCCATGTCAAGAATTTTTGAGCTGCGTGGTCTCGAGGCATGGTGTCCGCCTCGAGTGTCCGGGTTCAGTCCCCTGTAAGGGATGGGTTTTGTTTTCACGTGGACTAGGACTTCTAGACATTCTGGTCTCTGAGTAGTGAGATGAGACTCCCGTGTGTATTTTTGCTCACGTAAAAAAAAAAAAAAAATTCACTAGGCAGTTGCAAATTGAAAAGAGTAGCCTAACTTTAGAGTAAGCGAGAGTAGCCAAATTTGGAGTTAAAAATCGGCTATCCTCCGACTAACGGTCGGCAAAGATGGCGGCCGCAAAAAAGAGTCGCGTGTCAATTGCGCACTAACGGTCACGAGCACACTGCGACTGCTGCTCGTGGGTCCTAGCCATCTAGTTTAGCCCAATTCCACGCCGCGTGAGCGGCACGGGGGACACGTGGCGATAGTCGCCGGAGAACCGCAAATTAAGTCACGCGTCTCTGGCTCGAAAAGATATTTTGCGGCCGCTATCTTTGCCGACCGTTAGTCGGAGGATAGCCTAAAAATCTATCCGAAGTATTTAAGGATCCTCGATGATGCTACAGAGCCTGTGCACTGTGTTGAGCGTTTTCGGACTCAGACTTTAAATACAAGAAGAACGGAGAGCTGGGTTACTACCCGTGTGCCATGATGTTGAGCCGCTGTTCAAACCTCAAATTTTAAGGTCAAGATTTCAGATATCATCAAAACAAAACAGTAGCAACCATCACACTGATGTTTGGACATTTGATTTATATGAAGATTTTTTCCAAGTTCTTGTTAACAGTCCTGGTGATTTTTTTTTTTTTTGGGGGGGCGGGGGGTGGGGGGGAAGGGGTTTGGGAGGTCACTCACTTTATTTACACATATTTTCTTATGCTGAAAGAGAGAGGGAAGACGGTGGTTTTATAATCAGTGGATGGAGGGACGCCACTTAAAAAAGGTTGGAAACCGTTGGTCTCTTTTCTGTTTAAGATTGGGAGGGGGGGGGGGGGTCTACAATCTAAAAAAAACGCATTTATTAGCGATTACACTTTAAAAAAATAAAATAAAATAAATACATGTTAACTCAAATTCCTAGGGACTGAAAAATCAAGAGCTTTTGGTAAATAATGTTCACACACACAAAAGACACACACACAACACAACATACACTTACACACCACGCATAGTATAACATACACACAAACACTACACACACAGACACTTACACTATACCTACAACAACCCAATCCCTATGGCAACATGTAGCTTACCTCCTGATCAGTTGTGTCGGTGTCACTAGGTTTCTGGGATTTCCTCCCTTTAGACTAGCATCCGAAAAGTTAATTTTTAACTCACCCAGTGTCAATATTTGTAGCAGTAGACTCAGAGAAGAAAGATATAAATAATAACAATAAAGACACCAGTACTCTAAACGGGGGGGGGGGGGGGGGAAGGAAAAGAAGACAGAGCTATTTTTAGACAATTCCCCCCCCCCCCCCCCCCCAAATCCCTCAAGACACGGCACAAGGTAACTGTTGACATTGTTTAGTGTTTCTTGTTCATACATCCCCCAACATTAGGAAACGCATCGTACTGTATACATTCCCTAACATTAGGAAGCACATCGTACTGCATACATCCCCCAACATTAAGAAGCGTATCGTACTGCCTACATCCCCCAGCATTAGGAAGCACATAGTACTGCATACATCCCCCAACATTAAGAAGCCTATCGTACTGCCTACATCCTCCAACATTAGGAAGCACATAGTACTGCATACATCCCCCAACATTAAGAAGCATATTGTACTGCATACATCCCCCAACATTAGGAAGCACACCGTACTGCATATATTCCCTAACATTAGGAAGTACATAGTACTGCATACATCCCCCAACATTAGGAAGTACATAGTACTGCATACATCCCCCAACATTAATAAGCACATTCTACGGCATACATCGCCCAACATTAGGAAGCACATCGTACGGCATACATCCCCCAACATTAGGAAGCGTATCGTACTGCATACATCCCCCAACATTTAAAAAGCACATTGTACGGCATACATCCCCCAACATTAGGAAGCATATCGTACTGCATACATCCCCCAACATTAGGAAGCACATCGTACTGCAAACATCCCCCAACATTAGGAAGCACATAGTACTGCATACATCCCCCCCCCCCCCACATTAGGAAGCACATTGCAAACATCCAACAACATTAGGAAACACATTGTACGGCATACACCCCCCAACATTAAGAAGCACATTGTACGGCATACATCCCCCAACATTAGAAAGCACATTGTACGGCATACATCCCCCAACATTAAGAAGCACATTGTACGGCATACACCCCCCAACATTAGAAAGCACATCGTACTGCAAACATCCCCCAACATTAGGAAGCAAATTGTACGGCATACATCCCCCAACATTAGAAAGCACATTGTACGGCATACATCCCCCAACATTAGAAAGCACATTGTACGGCATACATCCCCCAACATTAAGAAGCACATTGTACGGCATACATCCCCCAACATTAAGAAGCACATCGTACTGCAAACATCCCCCAACATTAGGAAGCACATTGTACGGCATACATCCCCCAACATTAGAAAGCACATTGTACGGCATACATCCCCCAACATTAGAAAGCACATTGTACGGCATACATCCCCCAACATTAAGAAGCACATTGTACGGCATACATCCCCCAACATTAAGAAGCACATCGTACTGCAAACATCCCCCAACATTAGGAAGCACATTGTACGGCATACATCGCATTTGTATGACGGTAAGAAAACTAATACTGATTCCGGGAGAAGAAAGAGACAGAGACGCGAGAGGGCCCACGCGGGGACCTCAGACTGAGACAGAGTAGAAGCAGATTATCATTTAGCTTCTGTTGATAAACTTGGTGGTGAGCTCGTTAAATAAGAACAAGAGGGCGCAGAATAGTGCTGGTGCTAAGAGTTAACGAAAATGCTTGGAATGAAGAGGAGGAGGAGAATGCAAAAAATAGGGTTAGGGGCGGATCGTAAGTGAAAGTCAAGAAAGAGAGGAAAAGGAGGAGGGCGTGAAGAAGAAGAAGAAGAAGAAGAAGAAGAAGAAGAAGAAGAAGAAGAAGAAGAAGAAGAAGAAGAAGAAGAAGAAGAAGAAGAAGAAGAAGAAGAAGAAGAAGAAGAAGAAGAAGAAGAAGAAGAAGAAGAAGAAGAAGAAGAAGAAGAAGAAGAAGAAGAAGAAGAAGAAGAAGAAGAAGAAAAGGAAGAAGAAGAAGAAGAAGAAGAAGAAGAAGAAGAAGAAGAAGAAGAAGAAGAAGAAGAAGAAGAAGAAGAAGAAGAAGAAGAAGAAGAAGAAGAAGAAGAAGAAGAAGAAGAAGAAGAAGAAGAAGAAGAAGAAGAAGAAGAAGAAGAAGAAGAAGAAGAAGAAGAAGAAGAAGAAGAAGAAGAAGAAGAAGAAGAAGAAAAAGCAGAAGAAAAAGCAGAAGAAGAAGAATAGGGGAAGAAGATGATGATGAAAGAAAATAAGGAGGATTCGGGTGAAAAAAAAAGTAGAAGGAGAAACTGTGAAGTAGGAAATGGAAAAGAATACTAAGGAGGAGAAGGCAGAGTAGGGGGCAGACTAGTACAGCAGAAACTGACCGAATATTGACCTTATAGTGACCCGGAAAATTACTAGGCTACACAACAGTGTGTTGTACCCTACTATATACGAGATTGAACAGTCTGCCGATAATGCCTTAGTATGTTTGTCCTGACGGTCGTCTGCCTTTTTTTTTAGGTTTCTGCTAAAGAAGATGAAAATATTGAAGACATATTTCGTCATCTGCTCGACCAATCTCGGGGGGAAGGCCGAAACGTAGGGGCGCTGAGTCGTGTCTTATCCACTCGTAGACGAAGTGTCCATTCTCTGGAAGAAAGCGACCAGGAAAAGAGCGAAGAATGGGACCATGATGCCAAGAACTTCAACCGGTAAATATCAGATTTACGACTAGTCTGTTTAGTTTTATGTCTTGTTTCACGGACACCATTTCACTTCACTTCTGTCGCCATAAAACCTTTGCCTTCTCATCTAAAGAAATTAAAGTGTTAATGTTTGTTTGCTATTAATAGCTAATCTCCGAAGTTTCTTTGCCGATTGCTTTCAAATTTTGAAACAACGTTGCATTCATATACGCGAGTGTTTTTATATGAGAGAGTCGCACAAAGCACGAACTACATTGCACCAGCGATGATCATTTCGGTATCTTGGTTTTCTTTTCCGATTGTCCGATATTTTTTTTTTTTTTTTGTCGCGTTCCCGGCGCGAATTTTTAATTCCCCTGGTAGGGAACTTTGAAAGTTGACCTCAAAAATCTGCATAAAGCTACAAGAGATAATAAATTATTTCGTTATTGGGACGAGGGTTGTTGAATTAATATGTGGACATTTAAAGATTAGTAATTAGTAAAAAATGCAATCACTGCATTCCAGACATTGTTTGGATTTGACCTGTATCTTTTACTATTTCGCAAGTATACTGTGGTGTTTTTTTCCCCCATTATTTTGCATTTCGTTGTTGTTGTTGTTGTTTTTTTTTTTTTTTTTGCAAATGGCAGTGAAATTGAGCTGTGTTGATTTATCTGTGTTTGAATTATTCTGCATAGTGCTATATGCGATAATTAATTATTGTGTTATGGGGACGAAGATTTGTTGAATAAATGCATAGAATTTTAAAGACCTAATATATATTCCATATCAGGACTGTGTTTGTGCTGCTGGAATCACCTTATGAAAAGTATATGTTCAGCTGGGACTGCTGGGACGCCGATAAAATTCACTCGAAGTCTGACGAGGTTCCCTGCTCAGAGAGCCAAAATAGTTTTCATTCCGGTAGACAGGATTTAGTTCTTTTCCAAGAAGACCGAGAAGATTTGTATACGAAGACAATAGGTAGAGTCCCAGAATAGATCTAGGCTGAACAAAATCGCCTCATATTTGTTTCCGGGTTATTCTGGTGTAAAGGGCAATAAACGAGCTAACTGACTTGCATGTGGTGCTCACGTGGGAAACGGACGAGCAATGGACGGGGGTGATATACTGAATGTCCTTAAAGAGGCGGCTCGATTAGAGAAATCAAGAAATGATTTTCAATCTGCAACACTGACGAGACTACACGAACATAACATCAAAAGGGGTTAAGCCAGCGACTCAAAGAAGAATAGTAAACTAACAAAGAACTGGTGTCATAAGCCACTACACGCTGAGGGAGATACTGAAGAGAAGATCTGAGCCCTTATGGACTGGATGATTCGATGTGCGATGATGATAATCGGTCGACTAACTAACTAGTTCTTCCTACTTTAAAGACTGTGTTATGGCTCTTGTCGTTTTTTTTTTTTTTTTTTTTTTGACGGCATTACTTTTAAAATAAATATTGTTTAACACCTGCATAATTTATACCAGATATAAAGATCTGAAATTTTAAATCTGTACTGCTTTATAATCCGGCGTCTGTGGCTTAGGCGTTGCAAACGCGCTTCGTAATGCTAGGGTTGGTTCTGCAACGTCCTGTAACTGCTTTATAGAACTGAAACATGGAGAAATAATAACTAATAAACTATAAATATTCAGTAAAAGTAACTGTAAAATAGCAGCAGTTAAATAGTATGATGGAATGTCTAATAAACAACCTTGGGGTGGAATATTTAATCAAATTCTAATGAATAAAGAAGTGGGGGAAATTCCCTGGTTTTAGAAAAGACGAACATTGAATACAATCTAATAAAATTATTTCTTCGCACTGAAACGGACAGGGTCATGGAAATACACACCACCACCACCACCCCCCCCCTACCACACCCCACCCCACCTGACCTCACCCCCACCCCACCTCACCCCAAAACAAAAACACAATTCATAAAGAAAGGAACCACAGAGTGAAGTTTAACAGGTGTAGAGGACATAGGTGTGAGCTGCAAGCGGTAGCAAATGACTCGGTGGAAGGTGGTTGCAACCTACAGCTCTATCAAAAAGTAACAATTAAAGCAATAAAATATTGAAGTCACTATATTAAGTATTCACGGTAGCCGATACAGCCTGAGAACCGAACCGTTTCTGTAAATGATTCCCTACATTACTGGTTTTATTTCATCACTGCGTCTACACTGCAAGTATTTTCTGCCTACCATCACAAGTTTATTATCTGCCTGCCTGTCGTTCTTCTATAACTGTTTTTATCTGACTTATGTCTCTTTACTGTAACTGTATTTATCTGATTTATGTCTCTTTACTGTAACTGTTTTTATCTGACTTATGTCTCTTTACTGTAACTGTTTTTATCTGATTTATGTCTCTTTACTGTAACTGTTTTTATCTGATTTATGTCTCTTTACTGTAACTGTTTTTATCTGACTTATGTCTCTTTACTGTAACTGTTTTTATCTGACTTATGTCTCTTTACTGTAACTGGTCTTTTTTTTCGCTTCTCTCTCTTTATTGTAACTGTTTTTAATCTGACTTATCTCTCTTTACTGTAACTGTTTTTATCTGACATATGTCTCTTTACTGTAACTGTTTTTATCTGACTTATGTCTCTGTACTGTAACTGTTTTTATCTGACTTATGTCTCTTTACTGTAACTGTTTTCATCTGACTTATGTCTCTTTACTGTAACTGGTTTTTTTTTCGCTTCTCTGTCTTTATTGTAACTGCTTTTAATCTGACTTATCTCTCTTTACTGTGACTGCTTTTGTCTGATTTATGGCTCTTTACTGTGCTTTTTATTTGACTGTGGAAGCCGCATTGATGTAGAGGCTAGGCGCTCGCCTGTGGATCAGGTCTTGACGAAGCCGGACGGTTTTTTAATGACTTTGGTTCTAGATGGACCCAGCCTCAAACTGGTACCAGGTACAGTCCAGAGAGTAAAGGCTGCCGGTGTGATATTGACCACATCAACCATCGAGTGCCAACTATTCTATAAAACATAGGTCCAGCCCTATATGCCCAAAATTCATAAAGACGTGGAAAGGGTTGCTTTACTTACTATTTGACATCTGTCCCTTTACTATAAAAACTGTATTTAATGTCTGCCTCTTTACTAAAACTGATTTAATTTTGCGCCTTCTCCATACTTGTAACTGATTTTATTTGACGCCTATTTAATCAAACTGATTTTTGACGCTCATCTCTTACTAGAACTGATTTTCTTTGACGCCTTCTCTATACTGTAACTGATTTTATTTGACGCCTCTTTAATCAAACTGATTTGTGACGCCCATCTCTTACTAGAACTGATTTTCTTTGACGCCTTCTCTATACTGTAACTGATTTTATTTGACGCCTCTTTAATCAAACTGATTTTTGACGCCCATCTCTTACTAGAACTGATTTTCTATGACGCCTTCTGCATAGACCACATCTTTACTCTTAGAATAATTGTTGAAGATTCTACAGAATTCCAGTCGAAATTATTGATCAACTTTGTCGACTTTCAAAAAGCCTTCGACAGTATCCATCGTCCAACACTCTGGAAATTGCTTAACATCTATGGTTTCCCCATCAAATATATCAACATCATAAAATCTTTTTATAATGAAACACGATGCTGTGTAAGAACTGATTCCGGCAATTCTGACTGGTTCCCGGTGGAAACAGGAGTGAAGCAAGGCTGTGTCCTATCGCCGATGCTTTTTGGGTATAGCAATCGACTGGGTCATGCGCAAGTGCATAAATAACGCAAATTTAGGCATTACATGGGTTGACAAAATTCTGGAAGACCTAGACTTCGCTGACGACATAGCACTCCTGAGTTCAGAACACACAGACGCCCAAGAAAAAATCAATCGACTCCAGAATTTCTCAGAACAAATTGGACTCCAAATTAACACCGCAAAAACAAAAATTCTAGACCTTACCAACAGTTCAGTTGATATCACGCTGAACAACAACAGCCTTGAAAAAGTCAACAGTTTCACTTATCTAGGGAGCAAGATGTCATCTACAGGAGATACCGCACCAGAAATATCATTTAGAATAGCACTGGCATCTAGTGCCTTCAATAAACTGTCTAACATCTGGAAATCAAAGACACTTAGCAAACACACAAAACTCAAGATCTTCAATTCTTGTGTGATTCCAGTACTAACCTATGGATGCGAGAGTTGGAAATCAACGAAAACTCTAGACACAAAATTAGACAGTTTTGAAAATAAATGCCTTAGAAGAATACTAAATTTCAAATGGTCAGATTTCCGAACCAATACACAAATAAGGCAAGAATCCAGGCAAGAGTATGTGTCTAATTTTATACGAAAACGCCGCTGGAACTATGTCGGCCACGTCCTTAGAATGGATAAATCAAGACTTCCTTACCAAGCCCTCATTTGGACACCACAGGGGAAAAGATCTCGTGGAAGACCAAGGGAAACCCTACGTAGAACTATCATCAGGGAAGGCTCGCTCATGGGCCACTCAAACATCCAAGACCTACAACGGATTGCAACGGACCGCCGTGCATGGAGAGTCACGACCTCTGCCCTATGTGCCGCACTCGACACAAGAGGAAAGACTAACTAACTAACTTCTCTATACTGTAACTGCTTTTATTTGACGCCTCTTTGATCAAACTGATTTTCTTTGACGCTAATCTCTATACTATAACTGATTTTATTTAACGCCATCTCTTTATTTCAGCTGATTGTATCTGATGCCTCTTTAATCCAACTGATTTTATTTGACGCCAGTCTCTAAACTATAACTTTATTTATTTGGCGCCTTTTCTTTACTATAGCTGATTTCAATTGATGCCTTTTTAATCAAATTCATTTTATTTAACATTAATCTCTTTATTATAACAGATTTTATTTCACGCTAAAGTCTATACTGCTTCTGATTTTATTTCACGCTTATCTGTATTCTATAACTGATTTTGTTTGGCGCTATAGTCTATGCTATAACTGACGCCTCTTTAATCAAACGGATTTTTTTTATCGCTATTCTCTATACTATAACTGATTTTATTTGACCCCTCCTTAGTCAAACTGATTTTATTTGACTCTAATGTCAATACTACAACTGATTTTTATTTGACGTTATTTCAATACCACAATTGATTTTATTTTACTCTAATCTCAGTACTTTAACTGATTTTGACGCAATTCTCTATAGTATGATTTTATTTGACGCTATGGAATCAAACTGATTCTATTTGACAATAATCTAAGTACTAAAATTATTTTTTTGTCTATGCTTTACTCAATACTACAACTGATTTTATTTGATGCTATTCTCTATTCCAAAACTGATTTTATTTGAGCCTTCTTTAATCAAACAGATTTATTTTTGACGCTAAACTCGATATTCCAACTACTTTTGTTGTTGTTGTTGGCGCCTATCTCGGTACTACATTTGATTTTTTCTTTCTTTTTGATGCTAATCTCTATACTATAACTGATTTTATTTGACGTTAATCTCAATACTATAACTGATTTTATTTGACGCTAATCTCAATACTACAATGGATTTTATTTGCTTCTGTACCTCTAGAAGCCGGAGTCTGGTCAGAAGGGGGTCCAGACCTAAAGTGAAACGAACCCAGCGCAGAGGGAAAAATGACTGCCGAGCTTCGTGACAGCTGCGACTTCAAACATGGCCCCCAGGACATACATGCGAAACTTGCCTCCATTGTTACTGACATTGTGGTATATTTTAAGCCTGTCCAGATTAAGATTATGTATAACTGTGGCAACAGACATATACTTCGATTGTGTCTCAATGCCAAATTTATAAATGTTTAATTGTCTGTGACATCGACATCGTCAACACCATCATCAACACCATCATCATCATCATCATCTTCTTCGTCATCATCATCTTCATCATCATCATAATGATCATCACTATCATCGTTATTAAGAACGTCATTATTTCTCCACCATCTTAATGTGATTATATTCGATAATACGACGACGACTTCTACTTCAGACTACCGTATACACTGATTCAATAGTTTTTATTTCTCTCTTTCTTTCTCCTGTCTTGTGTAGCCTACACCCTGTGCCTTAGTGCAGCAGGGGAGTTCGCCCAGTCCAGAAGTAGACTTAAAATAATACCAAGTGGGGCCTTTAGGAGTAGCATTAAGACCATTTCCCAAAACACAAATCCGCTTACATTCTTTCCTACATGTGTGGCGAACATTCGAGTAGAGATCTGACAAAAGTCCGAAAGCTGCTAGACTGCTCCAAGGATTGTTCTCCGACATTATAAAAGGGCACTTATAATTTCTGCATTTGCAGGTCATAGCATGCATAGGACTAGAAGTTACATCTTGTTGCTGTAGCTGTCACGTGTGGACTAGATATGACATGTGGCTGTTGTAGCTGTCACATGTGGACTAGATGTGACATGTGGCTGCTGTAGCTGTCACGTGTGGACTAGATATGACATCTTGTTGCTGTGGCTGTCACCGAATGACTAGATGTGACATCTGGCTGCTGTAGCTGTCACGTGTGGACTAGATATGACATGTGGCTGCTGTAGCTGTCACGTGTGGACTAGATGTGACATCTGGCTGCTGTAGCTGTCACGTGTGGACTAGATGTGAAATCTGGCTGCTGTAGCTGTCACGTGTGGGCTAGAAGTGATATCTGGCTGCTGTAGCTGTCACGTGTGGGCTAGGTGTGATATTGGGCTGCTGTAGCTGTCACGTGGGACTAGATGTAAACACCTTGCCCTTATAGCTGTCACATGTGGACTAGATATGACATCTTGTTGCTGTGGCTGTCACCGAATGACTAGATGTGACATCTGGCTGATGTAGCTGCCGCGTGTGCACTAGATGTGACATCTGGCTGCTGTAGCTGTCACGTGTGGACTAGATATGACATGTGGCTGCTGTAGCTGTCACGTGTGGACTAGATGTGACATCTGGCTGCTGTAGCTGTCACGTGTGGACTAGATGTGAAATCTGGCTGCTGTAGCTGTCACGTGTGGGCTAGAGGTGATATCTGGCTGCTGTAGCTGTCACGTGTGGGCTAGGTGTGATATTGGGCTGCTGTAGCTGTCACGTGGGACTAGATGTAAACACCTTGCCCTTATAGCTGTCACACGTGGACTAGATGTGACATCTTGCTTCTGTAGCTGTCACGTGTGGACTAGATGTGACATCTTGCTGCTGTAGCTGTCACGTGTGGCTAGATGTGACATCTGGCTGTTGTAGCTGTACCTTTTCCGACGATGTGCTGTTGGACCGATATTGAAATTCGTCCCATAGCGTATGGTCCAGTATTTATAAGACAACAACACCTTTAGTGTACCAGCCACCACAGTACAGCTACACACGAGTAGACGCTGCAACCTACATGACGTACTGAGTGGTCTGTATATTGTTCAAGATAGCCAGAGTTCAGCCACGGCTTTTATTTATTTCGTCCACCTGCCTATTCTAGTCTGTTTATAATTGGCCGACCCGCCATAAATATGTCCCATGATCATCTCTTTGTATTATTAAATAACTCACATGATAATGACATTTATTTTTGCTCGTGTCAGAGGTTTGTGAAGTTAATTTGACTTGCCTCATTAAGTAAAATTTTATAATATTTATTTATGTTTTTATAACTCAAACGTATGTCACTTTTGTAAATTTAAACTTTTTTTTTACATTGGTGTTGTATATGTTAATTTTGGTGTGTTGTTTTTAAAACGTAGATATCTTTACCGTCCTTAGGCAAATAGGCCGTAGAGTAGAATAAAACACAAGCTCAATCGTAAAGAATATTGGTGTTGTGGAGGTGTTTAGCGATAGTAATTAAAATTGTGTGTGTATGCTAAATATGAGGCATGAGCAATTTCTAGGTTAAAATTGCTTCTCACTTAACCAGTAGGCGGCGATTGGAGTGAAAGTGGTATATCAACTCTCATTACTAAGTATATACTACTCTTAGAAATGACTTTTTTTTAAACTATGATTAAGAAGCTAAGTCTGGGAGAACAGGAGAGGATACAAAGATACCACACACACACACACAAAAAAGAACGTTCAAGCAAAATACAACACGCCACAACGCCAAAATGGGAGAATTCAACAAGGAAGGAAGGTTCCGGGTATGTACATTTCCTATTTCCCCCCCCCCCCCCCACCCCCTCCTTTTTTTCTTTTTCAACTCTACCGGACTGTTACGTCCTTTTGTGTGTGATTAAATAATTACTTGAAATCAATTCGATTGTAATATATATTTTCAACATTTGTTATTTCAGCCAATCATATATAAATGTCAGGCTACCAGTTAAAGCTCCAACTTTTCGGTAAATATGTCACCTCATTAATTATTTTTTCCCCGCACAAACTGTCCATTATGAAAATTTGAAAAATCAGACACACAGTAGACTTGGCAAAGTCCAGCAGCTCGCACACTCATAATGCCGCCATCAGATTTTCCATCACGAACAGGCTGTTACTAGAATTACAGTTCATCGAGATGGGAGCAGCAGTTACGACAAAGCTACAGGTTCACACTCATTTCTGAATAACGCATACAGGCAGTTCTGTGTGTGTATAATAAGTTGCTAGTACAAGTTTGAATCTATGAAACTAAAATAATACTGTTGGATAGAATGAGTTAAAGTAGAGTGGTGCAATGTAACAACAACATGAATCATCAGGAGTTGATAAAGGTTTACCATATCAGTTTACGCTGGCAGCCATATTGTATGTTGTCTGTTACTGAATGAGTTAAATATACAAAAGGTGGCCATCACAGCGGAATGGTCATGTCCTGTTGTTCTCAGCTGTCCTCAGAATTTGTACGAGTTAAATGGAAACAAGGTCGGATCAGTGAAATTCTGTTAAAGGTGAATTTGTCCGTGATTGAAGAACATATTGACCATATCACCTATTCCGCGTAGATTGGTCTATAAACTACTAATCTAATCTCATGTGACCGAAACGTCAATTGAATGAAAAAGTGTCGTTTTCTTTTTCACACATCCAGTGAGTATGATGATGATGGTGTCAGTGCAGCTGAGTATGTCCACGCTCTTGCGTGTACAAGATGAATACTGCACAGACTTTTAAAACTCAGTTGCATACATCAGTCACACATGTTTCTTTCTAAAAAGAAAACACACACACACACAAAAAACATGCTACTACTTGTCTACTCGTATGTTTTCTTTAAAAAAAAATTGCATTTGAAATTTTGATTTTGAAGTGTGTAGGGATCAAACCTGTATATGATGTATGGCTTGTTGTGTGCGTTTTTGTATGCGCGCGCGTGCGTGTGCGTGCCTGCGTGTATTCCCTAATCTCCCTAGTGAGTTCTGTGAAAATCTCATCTTGCCTGATGTTTGTATGGTTTTACCTTATTTACAAATGTAATTTCCTGCCGTTTAATTGTGTGTCTTTCTCATAATCTAACATTTCGCATCTGTTCAGTGTTAGCTCTACTTGCTGTCTGATGGAAACTACTTTACAGATTTGCTGGATGTATGTGTACACATGATGGAGTGGCAGGGATGGGCAAGGGATCACCTGGGGCAACAAATTTGATCATATCACGTTGCTGTGGATGAATGAAAATTATTGCCAAAGACATACACTGATACTACATACATAGATTTGCGTGAATACATACATTTCAAAACACATACATATCCAGACATACACATAGTTACAGTGTTCGGATACAATGAATGTTGCAAAATCAACCTTTGATTTTAGAATAGCCCTCGTAAATGTAACGAAAAGGATGCATTAGTGGTAGGGAAAACCAATGATTTTGTAAATGTGGTCTTCTTTTATTTCTACGTCCCTGGGGGATCCAGTGTAAATTCATTACAGCTATATTGTTCTCAGGTTTTTTCCACGTGTGTCCTATCCAACGTCATCGTATGTTCTTTATCTCTTGGCCCACTGGAACTTGTTTAGTTCTCTCCAAAAGCTCTACATTAGTGATTCTATCATATCATTTGATTCCCTCTATTATGTGGAGGCACCAGTTAATGAATGTTTGTATTTTATCAGTAATTGCCTTAGTCGTTTTCCATGTTTCCGCCCCATACAACTACTGATTTGACATTAGAAATAAAGAATTTTAGTTAGTATTACTTAAATTTGTTTTTTTCTTTTTGAACATCCACAAATTCTCTAGTACAGTAAAAGCTCGTCTTGCCTTTTGTATTGTATTTTAATATTTATATCAGCGCCCCCTCCTCCCCCCCCCCCCCACCACCACCACATCTGTTTCTACATTACTGCCCAAATAGGTATACAACTCCACGTTTTGGAGTGGGATACCATTGAAAGAAACCACATTATTTTTTGATTTATTCTAATTGTCTCTGTCTTGACCTCACGGATTTTCAGTCATAGCTTTTGCTTTCTCGCATGAAGTATATTTAATTTATCTTGTATCTGATTCCGTGAATGGGACAGAAGAGCAATATCATCAGCCAAGTCCAGATCCTCAAGCTGTTTTGTAGGGGTCCACTGAATTCCATTCCTGATGTTAGCAGCTACTGTCTTCATAATCTAATCTATTGCCCGTAAAAATAGGACAGGCGACACAAGACATCTCTGTCGTCCACCTGTTATTATTTCAAATGCATCTGTTAGCTTTCCCTCATGAGGAA